GTGTGTGTGTTTTGATGATTTAATGTAAATTGGTTTTGAAACATTTGAGACATGATAAAAGATTTGATATTTATGATATGCATTTAGTTTGGAGAAATAAGCATTGCATCTTGAGTCAAATTTTAAGTTATCATCCTTAGCTCGTTTTTCTCCCTTATTATGTTATATAGTAGCTACGAGGGGCATAGCCTTTAGGTGTTCGCATCCAATAAGATGTTATATTTTTCACCCCAAGCGTAATTTAGATATTTGATTTGATTTGACATGTGTTTGTGTGTATGTGTTTGTTTGTTTTGATGATTTGATGCAAATTGGTTTTGAAACATTTAAGACATGATACAATATTTGATATTTATGATATGAATTTGGTTTGGAGAAATAAGCATTGCATCTTGAGTCGAATTTCAAGTTATCATCCTTAGTTCGTTTCCCTCCCTTATTACGTTATATAGTATCTACTCACTAAATCGTTGATTTACTCACACTCCACTATTTTAGTTTTGTAGGGTTTGTGAGCTTACCTTTCCACTTCTACAAGTTGTTTCTCTCAAGTCAACATATTGATCGTGGGACTCGGTTAAATGTAATTTCTTGAACTTGTGTTTGATGTTATTGTATTCTTAGAAGCTCTATAATTATATCTTATAGGAGGTATATTAGAATTTGAGTGTAGATATTATTTTGAGGAATGCAAGAATGCCATAAATTATTATTTATGTTAGAATTATAAAGTAATGATTGATAAGTTAAGGCATCGTAAATCAAAATGATATTTGACATAGTAAAGATTTAAGGATTATAGTTTAGATATTGAAAGCTTACTTGAGTCAAGGTTGGCCTCATGGTTCCCTTGATTCTCGCATTGATCATGGCTTACTTCTAGGGTTATGAAAAAGTTGGTATCGGAACATAGGTTTTAGAGTCTAAGGTAATTACGGAGCATAGGTTTTATTATAATTCATGTCCTTGCTTCGAATTACATGGATCAATCAACTAGTGTATACCCTATTTTCTCTATTTATACATTATATAAATAAAGAAGGGTTTTATCATACACGGTTAACTTACATGGTTTGCTTGATTGTCACACACGATCAAGTCATATTTACTCTTCATCCCATGTCATTTAGCTTCTCGCCCATATGGCTTTTCTTTCTCTAGAATGATAACTTTATGGTTACGCGTAGCCATGTTACATTTTCCCTTCATCTCATGTCTCTAAGCTTCTACTCATGTGGCTTTTCTTCTTTTGATAACAACTCTATGGTGACACATGAACATGTTAATTTTTTTATACAAGTACTTATTCCTTCCACCCGTGTGTCTTTTTGTGTTAAATACATGCACGAGCATGTCATTTTTCAACACAAGCCATGCTTACTCCTTTTGTCTATGTGTCTTCTTGTGCTAAATATACACATATTTTTTATTTTTGTTTCACCGAGCCAATAGCTTTTTCTCTTTTCAAGACATACGATCATATGTCTCCTTCCTTCAACATGGCTTTGCATGTTGTTTTCATTGGGTCCTTTATGTGTTTGGATCGGTATGTCCATTGGCTTGGGTTTACTCATTTTTATAGCCATCTTTCTTACAAAACCCAAAATTATTATCTCATTCTTGATTAGCTTAGTATAAAGCATAAAGTACTAACAAGTCTAATGGAGAAAAGAATAAAAATTATATAAATTATGCATTGCTTATGTTGCCTTCTTGAATTTATCTCTGTTCAAATATGTTGAACATGGATTATATTTTGTATAAATTGTTATGGTGAGGACTAGATCAAGTGATCATAGAGAAGCAAGTGCCGAGGTCGAGGCATCATCTGGACCTTCATGGTCTCGTGGTAGATCTAGAGTTGGGGAAGAAGTAGACTCGATATGATGTCACCTGCTAATGTCATGAGTAGTTTTTCATGCTATGCAACATATTATAGAGATGATGATTGAGCGTATTCGGGAAACTTTTCGAGCTATGGTAGGGTTAGTGCCTACCAATCGGGTTTTGAGTAAAGTAAGCACTTCCGTAACTACCACCCGATCGGTATTAGCGAGTTTGATCCTTATATTGCTAAGTTTTTGAAATTAAAGCCATCAACTTATTCTAGTGATCGGGATAATGAAGATCTAATGCATTTTATAGATGAGATAGAAAAAAAGACTAGTTGTGCTTTGTTGTCTTAAGGAAAGAAAGATTGAGCTAGTAGCATTTATGCTTAAAGAGAGTATCAATGATTAGTATAAACGAAATAAGAAACTTGATTGGTCTTAAGAGCAATTTAGGAAAGCTATTATAAAGAAGATGTTACCCGAGAGTATCAAAGCTAAGGAGTTTGAGAGACTAGTGCAAACTTCTAACATGACAATGATGGAGTATGAGAGAAGGTTTGCAAAGCTAAATCATTATGCTATAGAAATAATACCAACCGATGCAAAAAAAATGAAAAAGTTTATAAAGGGGCTAGTCGATTTATTGTATTTTCTCAAAATTTTTAGAGCTATTCGAAGTAGTTGATTGTGCTCGTAAGCTTGAGATATGAAGGATGGAGAGTAGAGCAAAAGAAGAAAGCCAAGAGTGATGCCTCATCATCTAGTAGGCATAAAGGTCGTAGTAGTAAATCTAGTCGAGATATTAGTATGTAGATTTATCTAGCCCTCGAAAGGAGGTTTTCTAAATAAAGTAGTCATGGTAGGTCACATATGAGCATGAGTTAGTGACTATCTCATTTAGATAATCGAGTTACGGCAAGGGATATCCTATTTGTCGAAATGTGGCAAGACTCATTCGGGTATATATTTTTAAGAGATAAGGGTATGTTTCTATTTTCATCAATAGGGACATTTGATATGATATTGCTCTAGATACAAGATGGGATAAGATACCACTTTTGGAGAGGTACGGGCTCCTCCTATAGCCAATCCATCCTCGAGTCGGTATGGTGGTAGATTTGGTGGTCAAACTAATCGAAAGTTTGGTAGTAGAACATAGTAAGGTTGAGGATAAGTCGGTAAGGGTCATGGACACTTAAAAGGTCGGGGTCGGATGAGTATTGATATGGCCGGGCTCGAGTTTTTGCCATCACCTAGCAGGATGCTCAAACATTTAATGCCCTTTGTGTCGGATATCCTTTAAGTCTTTCCTTATAATGTAAGAGTACCATTTGATTCAAAAGCAATCGATTCTTTAATGTCACCATATTTTTCTAAGAGATTTGGTATGAATTTATGTGTGTTAGACCAATCTTTGATGATGTTAAAACCTATGAAAGAATGTATAATAGCTTAATTGAGTTTTAGAAACTATGATGTATGGGTGATGGGTAGAAATCTACTTATGGATTTGATGTTGTTAGATATGAATGGTTTTAATCGATTTTAAGAATGGATTGGTTAATGAATTATCATGCTTCGTTAAATTACAACAATAAGATAGTGTATTTTGGGAATCTAGGAGAAGATAGGTATTTTTTTCAAGGAGAGTGGAGTGTGGTTCCTTCTAACTTAATATCTATCATTAAGACATGTAAGATGATGATAAAGGGGTGTATGACATATTTGATATATGTGAAGCGGACAAATGATAATGTGGTTAGTTTGGACCAAGTCCCGAGTCATTGGGGAGCTTTTGGTGTGTTGTCAAATGAATTATCTAGTTTACCTACAAATAAAGAAATAGTGTTCGGTATCGAATTACTCTCGTGCATCGAACCTATCTCTATACCTTCATATCGAATAGGAGGAGATGAATTAAAGGAGTTAGAGATCTAGCTTCAAGACTATTGGATAAGGGTTTTATCCAACCTAATGTTTCTTCGTAGGGTGTTTCGGTTTTATTTCCTAGAAAAAAATAAGATAAGAGTTTGAGGCTATGTATTGATTATTGCCAAATGAATAAAGTTATTGTAAAAAATAGATATCCATTAAAAAGTATTGATGACGGGTTTAACTAGTCGTAGGGTGTAAAATATTTATCTAAAATTGATTTGAGATTTGGATACCATCAATTGAGGATTAAGAGCGAGAACATTTCTAAAACTCTTTTTATGATGCGAGTGTAATAACTAACTCGCTAAAACTAAAATCTAACAAAAATTAAATGCTAAAAATATGTGAAAAATGTTTTAGAGGTATAAAATAATCCTTATGTTGAGCATATTGCATGTGCATTGTTGCTTAAAATATTTGTTCGTCCTTCTCTCTCTTCCTCTCCTCGTTCCTTTTTTCTCCTTCGTTTCTTTTTCTTCCTCTTTGCCGAATCCTCTCTCTCTCCCCTCCTTTTTTCCTTCTTTCTTTCTTCTTTCTACTCCCTCTCTGCCCGGACTCCATGGATGACCGAAGCTTCGGTTCGTCCCTCAATTTCCTTGTCTTCTCTTTCTTCTTCCTTTCTAAGTTGAAATCAAAAACCCCCAAATTGAAAAATTTTCCCCAATTTGTCCAAATCCTATGTGTTTTGATTTTTCAAATTTTCCCTTCATTTGGGTCTAATTGGTTTGATTTCAAGAAATCAAACCAATTCAAACCCACTTGAGCCATTATTTCATAAAATCCCCAATTTGATTTTCCTCCGAAATTTCCCCTAATTTGGCCGAAACCCTAGGTTCGATTGAAGTCAATTCGGCTTCAACTTGGGGTTTAAACCCCAAATTGAAACTCCAATTGAACTTAATTTCTATTCCCTAACCCAATTTCAATTCAATTCAAAACATCCCAAATTCCGAATCAAAACTTAAATTGACAAGTAAATCCAAAATTAAAGAAAGATTAAGGAGGTTACCTAGAAGAATTGAGTTGAGGATGATGGTGGTTGTTGCTCCAAAGCAATTAAATTTCTCCCCTTCCGTATTTTATTTTTTATTTTTTTATATTTCGGCTTCTTTTTTTAGTTACTTGTCTTTTTTCTTTCAGCTTTTTTTTTTAAAAAAAATCTTTCCAACTTTTCTCTACCGATTCCCCAAGCCGATTTTCGATTGAACCCCCTTCTTTCGTTTGTGTTCGCTACTATTTATATATGCTCGTCAATTCGTTGTCTTGGTTCCCCACCGTTTGATGGTGTGAGATTTTTGCGGGATGTGGCGTGTGGGGTTGGATTGACGAAATGGGAGGGTGTGTTGTGGCGATGGAGGCCGAGAGCGAGTTGTGGGCTATGGCGAGTTGGGTGATATGCTTGCAGGAGTTGCGGCATGGTTGGGGGTTATAGGGTGATGAAGGCTGCTGGAATTGCGGCAGTAGGGTGAGGTTTAGGGTGGTCGTAGGTTGAAGCTGCAAGTGGAGATTGTGGTCAGTAAGAGGGGCTGGAATTGTTGACTTGGGGAGAGGCTGCTGGAGTAATGGGAAGCTGCGACTTACTGCAGTGGAGGTCGGCGATAGGAAGGTGAAGTTTGGATCGCAAATTGCTTGCAGTGGAGGCTGGCGATAGGGTGGCCGCAATATAGGGGCTGCTGGAGATTGACTTGGGGAGAGTTGATTGCGGGCTACCGAGGAGATGAATGCGATAGGGGAGGCTACAAGTGGTTGCAATGCAAGTGGAGGAGGATTGTGCGGTGGGGATTGTACGGAAGGTGATTCGGGGTCGCAAAAGGGACTTGGCAAGTTACTGGTTGCAAGGGAAATGGCGAGAAACGAGGACTAAAATAAAAATAAAATTCTACATGATAACAAGAATTATAACGGAAAAAAAAGTTTCACTAAAAAAAAAGGGCTTAAGATAAAAAAATTTTATTTAATTTTTATGTAATAAGGATAAAAATTAAATATGATAAAATTTTAATAACTACAATAAACATATCACAAAATAAAAACCACAAAAGATTATAATTTTTTACTAAAAAAATATTTATTATAAGAATATAAATCAAATATGATAAAATTTTAATGATTAAAATAAAAAAAATTATAAAATAGAGATTAAAATAAAAACAAAGTTTATTGCAAGCCAAAAAAAGGCTAGCAAGCAAGGAAAAAAAAAGGCCTTAGATATAGCATGCGAAAAGAAAGAAAAAAACCGTAAATAGTTAATCTACAATGAAAATGCTACGGGCTTTTTTATGTTTTCTTTTAGTTTATTTTGTAATATTACCTCATAATTAGTTTTAAATAAAGTTAGTATCGTCGATTTAAAATATTTACTTTTTAAATATTTTTAAAATTTTGGATTAGGATCCATTGTAGTGAGAATATTTTTTTTTAAAAAAAAAGAAATTTATTTGGATCTTTAAGGTTATATTCACCGGCTCAAGAGATTTGCCTCTTGGATATTTTTTTTATGTGGGCCTAATTGGAGGAAGTTTTTCCTCCCATTTATTTATTGTCATGACGTGACGTTAACGTGCTTAGGTGTTAGTGTCTATGTCAATAATTGATAACGACATAGATGGGTACGTCATCATTTGACTAACAAAAATCTACTAAGACATTTTATTGTAATATTTGTTAAAGGAGTGTTAAATTATTTTATGTGGTTGAAGGAATTTTTTGATATGTTATGAATATTTTATTTGGATTTTTATGTGTAGGAATAGTGTTTTTAAGGTAGAATGATTAAATTAGACTCTTTAAAAATGTGAGAAAATTAGTCAAAGTATATAGAAAAATCTTTCAAGATGTGTAGGAATACTTAATAAATTAAAATTAATTTTTCTATATATAAGGAATATTTCTTATAAAAAATAGTGTAATTTTTACACTAAATAATTAATTTGAAGATCTAAATGAAGGTACAAAAATTATGTAAATCATAATTAAATCCTTTTAATAAATTTTTGAATTTATTTTGTTGAGAAATTGAATTTTGGAAAAGGATAAAATAAAATTTTAGAATTAAAGACCTAATTGCATAGAAATTAGGGACCTAGTTGCATAAAATTAAAAATTTGAAGTTCTAAATAAAATTAGCTATTAACCTAAAGAGGTTAAAAGTTCTAAAGATACCTTCAAAAAAAGGACCTAAAGTGGTCAATTGAAAAAATAAAAGATGATGAGAAGAGTAATTAGAGAGAAAGATTAACAAAATGTGGGACTAAAATTAAGTAAAATTTTAGACACTTCTCCACCCTTCCAATCGAAATTTAACTCCATGATTGGGGTTTAATTAATGAGTTTTGACTTAGTTAACAATGAGAGGTGAGAAGGATGCAAAATGGAAAAGATTAAAATCACCTACAAGTCGCTTCAAATCAACTAATTAAGCAAAGAAATCAAGCTAGAAGATTAAAATTTATCAAGAGGAACTCTTAGGTTTAGGCTAAATTAGTGGAGGAAAAGAGGAGGAAATTTTCAAATCACCCAACTTTTCAAAGTTAGTTTGGAGCATAATTAAGTAAGTTAACTTCATCTACATTACGAGAAGCTTTTAATTGATGTTAATTTATGGATTGAATGCTTTAATTTATGAATTTTAGCTTGAATTTCGAAAATTAGGGTTAGGGTTATTGATGAAGAAAATTTAGAGGAAATGAAATTAAGCTTGTAATTCATGCAATTAAGGTTGAAATATGTTAATTGAACTTAAAATGAAGGTTTAAAACTCAAAAATTTCTAGGGTTATTCAAGGATAACTATTCGGCTAAAAAAAGAAATTTAAGGCTTTTTTATCCTTTGATGTAATTGATGTTTTAGAGCTTGATTATGATTTAATAGGTGTGAATTAGTGTTTGAGAATGAAAAACCACATTTAAATTGAAGAAAATTTCATGAATTCCTTAGGGTTATATTCGAGCTCAAACTTTGGATTTTAGGGTTTTGATTTTCTTCATCCAATTTATGATTTGCGATCAATTGTTAGTTGAATGAGTATGAATTCATGAGTAGAAAAGAAAATTCTAGGAAATTTGAAGATATTTGCTTAAATTAACTTAGGCCCAATTAGGGTTTATGCATGAAATTGTCCCATAAAATGTCAATTAAACCTACTTGGTATTAAAAATTAATAATGAAATGAGAAAAAAATAATTATGTTATGGATATAGAAAGTTTCAGCCCAAAATGGAGAGAAATTAGGGTTAGGTCTAAATGACTTCTAATACTTTAATTAATTGATTTGAACTTAGAATGATGTAATGAAATGAATTAAATTGAAGAATACTATCAAAACTAAAAACATAGCCTAAATGGCCCAAATTATGGCTTAGGCCCAAAACGAAATTAATATATGTGATTAACAAAGTAATACATAGTTAATTTAATTCCCGAAGATAGATTAAATTGAGTAGGATTAGTTGAGAAATTGATGTTTGGAATTAAAGAAAGTGATTAGGTTAGGTTAGGACATAATTTGACCTAGTTTAAGAAAATTTAAGATTTTGGTTTATTTTATGTAATTTATGTATAATTGTGTTTTTGTATGGTATTTGGTGTATTTGAATTATGGACATTATATATGCTTGAAATGTGGGTGATGGTGGAATTATGTTATATGATTTATATATTACTGTTGGTATTAATGTTGATGGTTGAAATTATTTATGTAAGTTAATATTATTAATGAATATGTATTATTGACTTTATTCATTATCATGGCATAATTGTATGATTATTCATGGCATAGACTTCATGAATCATCACTATTTATGTATCATCAATGAAATGCTTAAAAACATGCTTAATTTTATGAAAAATATTTTAAAGTCATGAAAACGTATTTTTATGTCATGGTTTTTCAATAGCAATTAGAAATTTTTCAAAGAATGTGGTTTTCATGACCTTGAGGATTTCCATGAGGAAGGACTTCATGGGTTTTTTCGTACAATAATGGTAATGGTTCAAGACTGGGCAAGTGTATACATACACTTTTAGAGGCTCGATAGGGCACATCAATAGACATCATGAAAACCCAAGAGTACTGTGATGGGACATGTTTAAAGATGGAAAAGAATTTTATGAAAAGCATTTATGTCACAAAAAGGAAAGATTTAGTGTATGCATACTAGTATTTTCACCCATACACATTCATCTACTTACATGACATGCATAAGTTAACTAACCGAGTTGTTGCTCACCCGAGTTTTGTATGATGTAGATAATTAAGGTAATTATGGGTTACTTCTCCGTTGAGTCGATCTACGAGGGATGCACTAGACGCATATACCTTAGTTGGGGTTTCGGCTTCTAGGTTGAGATTCCGCATGTTATTTTGTTTCTAGTAATAGTTGTTGTTATATATGTATTAGGGTTAGTTGGACTATTTTATGTTATGCTAAAGGTAATGAACAAGTAGATAGGGAACTTCTAAAACAATGTAAATAGTCAATAAGCCAATTTTATAGTAGTTGGCATTAAATTGATTTTATATGTAAATAATAGTTTGTATGTAACCAAAGTACCAATAGTAAATGGTAGCGTACTTATAGCTAGTGTAGTTACTTTAAGTTGTTCATTGCATACTAACACCCTCTTGATATTAAAGTGATATAAATAAATAAACGTCAAATAAAATAAATGGCAATTAAGGAAAAGAATAAGTAATTAAATAATAATAATAAGTTACAACTAAATAAGTTTAGGTAAATTAATAGAAAAGGAATTTAGAATAATCGACCATCACGAATCTAGTTATTTCAATCTAGAGAATGTAATTAAAATTATAAACTTAAAAAAATTTATAATGCCTTTTAGTCAAAATGTAGAATCTACTTTGTCAATATTATACTTCAATAGCATAAGTTACACTTAAAAACATTAAAAATCAGTCAAAGTGCCTTATTAGCTTATATTCATTACACCTCGAATGTAGGTTAATGACGAGTAATATTCTTAACCTTTTAGGTCCTACATTGGGGGTGTTACGGACATGGTATTAAAGCATAGTTTATCGAATCACATCCAAGGTATATGGAAGGCGACCTCGAAAATCAATAAGTATGTTTAATGAATGATGGTTATGATTATTTGATGTGTATAAAATGAATGTGAATGACATGATATTATCTTAGAAAGTAAGGTTATAAGTTAATATGATATGAATGACTTAATAAGAGTTGTATATCTATGTAATTAAAAGAGGAAAAGATAATACCGTCGAAGTGGGCTAATAATAATAACACTAGTAATAACGCAAGATTAAGCCACATGTCGAGTGACCGAGAGGGAGAATTAAGGAAACTACTTAGGAGGCGATAGGATACGATGGAGCTGCAACATCAAAGGTACAAAGAGCAATTATAGCAAATATTGAAAACAACTTGACATGGTCCAATCGAGACATGTTAGCCATAGAGGACCGAGTTAGTAGAGTGTTCCATTGGTTTAATCGAAGGAATTTACGAGCGATCTGAATCCTAATATTATGAAAGAATGGATTGAATTCTTAGAGGTTATTCTCAAATATTTGCATATGAGTGACACGGATCATGTAGCATGCACCACTTTTACGCTAGTTACTAATGTTAGAAATTAGTGAAAAACGGTGAAAGCATCTCTTGATGAAGTAAGGTTTGCATGGAATAAATTCAAAGACTCGTTTAATGAGAAATACTTCCCTAATACTCGTAAGATCTCATAAATTTAGGAGTTTCTCTAGCTAAGAAAAGGAGATATGTCGATTACAAAATATGTTCGTAAATATAAACAAGGATGTCGCTATGCCACTTTTATTGTCAAAATTAAAGAAAGGAAGAAGGAACATTTCCTTC